AGATTCTTTGAGGGTACGGATTAAGTATCAGCCATCCCATAGTGCAAGGCTCATTGTCTTTGACATGGTAGGTGCTCAAGAAAATTGTTGAACGAATGAGCAAATAAATAAATAATGAACGATCATGTCATATGAAGTATCTTATGTTTATGCCCTATCAATGTCTGAATTAACCACCACATTAATATCAGGTTCCATTGTCATCTTTAGTTATGAATTAAAGGCAAAATGAAATCCTTTTTTCTAGTCGATTACATATGGTAGGCTTCTCCCTTATACAAAGCAGAGTTCTGCTGAGAATCTGGGCTTTATCTAAGTGTTTAAAAATAGTCTATTACCTTTTTATTTTAAACTTTCTATTAGACATAATTTTAGAATCACATGCAGTTGTAAGAAATACAACAGACAGGCCAGGCGCAGTTGGAGGCCGAGGTGGGAGAATCGCTTGAGGCCAGGAGTTTGAAACCAGCCTGGGCAACAGCAAGACCCTGTCTCTACAAAAAAATTAGCTAGGTGCAGTGGCACACACCTGTGGTCCCAGCTACTCAAAAGACTGAGGCAGGAGGATCATTTGAGCCCAGGAGTTCAAGGTTGCAGTGAGTTATGATCACACCATTGCACTTCAGCCTGGACGACAGAGTGAGATCTTATCTCTGAGAAATAAATGAATAAATAGTACAGAGAGATCCTGTGTACACTTCACCCAGTTTCCCCCAACAGTAACATAAGTTATAGTTCAGTATCACAACCAGGAAACTGACATTGTTACAAGATACAAACCACTGACCTTATTCAGGTTTTACCAGTTTTACATGTACTTGGGGCTGGGGGAGTGGAGTGGTATAAATATTAATGACATGGTTCCTTTTAAAGCCAAGAAACATCATGGTTTCAAAAAAGGATATCTCTTTAAAATAATGATCTCCCATTTAAGTCATTTCAAAAGCATTTTTTCATTTATGTGTTCTGTATTTGGAGTATCCAGCTTACCTGCCTGCTCTCAAGGTCACAAAGTGTACTTATTGGCAAACATACTCTGCAAATGAACTAGCAGCAGCTGTGGTTGGTATTGGACCTCCATCTTCCTCCCGCCCTCCTCCACCTCTTTGAGTGTGCAGGTACACACACACACACACACACACACACACACACACACAGATTTTCTGCTGCTTGCCTTTTTTTATGCCTGAGTACCTTGCTGACAAGTGCTAATAACAAAATACCCAGAGAGAGTCCACTTGAAGTTAGCATACATTAAACATTCTGAACTTGTCCTTTTGCTCATAGATTGTGCATAATTAATAATTAAACAGTTTCAGTTGTAATGGGTTGACCTTCTTGAACTGTTCATTATTCACAAGGCAAAGGCATCACTCAAACTTTTTCCCATTGTCCTTCACTGTTCTCTAGCGTGCTGCGTGCTTGTGTTCCAGTTGTTTAGCAAAAGGGGCTGACCAGGTAGTTACTGAAACCTCTGAGGCTTGGAGACTGTCCTCCTTGATGACCAGAATTGCTTACTGAAATGGTTTATGGCAGCTGTTTTTATATAACAGTTGCCTGCTCGATCACAAGATCCAGCTTGTGTCCCTTTGGCAGGACTCTAAAGTTGATTTGGGATTAGAATCTCAGGTTAAGGCTTTTGGTTAAGGTTGTGTCCACTGTTTTGTTCCATACCTTCGTGCTTAGAAGTTCAACAGAAAAGCATCCCAAAATAAGCCCTTAAGATGAAGTATGGCACCCAAGGTCTTAAAGAGAGTGACTTTTATTAACAATTTAGGGTTGGTTTCAGCCAGTATTGAGAGTTATTAGTCAAACTGCTTCTTCAATTTGCGTTTATATTTTTGGAATGTATTTCTCCATCTGGTCAGCACCCATATTTCACAGAGGACATTTTTGATAAGTAGCAGCAACTATTTTACTAGAGTGTCTGAGCCCTGTGGGATGGTTCTCAGTCCCGCTCTCAGCTCACAGCGTCTGGATGCTTTCCCTTCCTGTGAGCTGCAGTGAGACTGGAGTGCAAATTTACTGTGCACTTCCCTCCCTCCTTCCCACAGATTTGAACTAGGGAACAAAATAGGCAGATTCTTGGAGGCCTTTCACATCCTGATCTAAACTAACTTCTAATTTTGTTTGCTTTAAAAAGAGAAAAGTGTGCTTTAAAATCCTTCCACACAGTGAACACCGTTAGGTATATTCATTTGCTTTCCTTTGGAGTGTTAACAGCCTGTGGTGGAGTTGGAGACCTCAGAGGTCTCCTTCGTCCAGTGTTTAAGTGTAGCATTCTGGCTACCCCCCTTCTAGTCAGTCTTTTGCATCTGAGAAAATTCTCCCTTGAGGTATGCAAGAGACATGGATTTTAAAATGAAAATAAATATCTGGCATTATGCATGTGAGATTAGAATTTCCCCCCACATCTTTGATGAGTGATTCTTTCCAGGCACCGCTGAGATGAGAATCTACTCTCTGTGGTTCTGCAAAGTCGACTTGGGCTGGCATGTTCAGAAGTGAAATAAATTATTCATGGGTACCACCCAGTGTTCCTTAGTTTTATAATATGAGGAACTTAACAGGCTACAATATCAGGTCTTAAATAAAATTAACTACCCATGCAAGATGTCACATTTCCTCGTTTTCTCATCCGTGCTAAAATGACATCTTCATCAAGTTGCCTAGTCTATAATTCATTAATTTACTCTTGGTATCATACTTTGAAATGAAGCCCACATTAGCATCATGTTTTATAACAGATCTTTGTAGAAAGCCAGTCTAGAATTTTAACCATCTTGGTAAACATTCAGCCACATTAAGATAGCAGGCTTTTGTTTTCCTAAATATTGCATTTTAAAACGACTACTACTCAGACGCTTTCAGTACTATACCCTCCAAAAAAAAAAAAATCCATAAAGGAATGACTTAGAGAAGCTTCCTCACTGATCAGTGTACATAATTTTTGCACCTCAGACTTTGAACTATCTTTTTACTGATGATTTTTGAGACAGTAAAATGTCATTTCTTGAACTGGGACTTGTAGAATCTTGCCAGCTTGATGATATATATGGCTTTCCTAAATCAAGCTGGGGCTGAAATTGATATCATGTTTTATTTTTGCTCTTCAAACCTATGGGACTTCTGTGACCATTTTATAGTACCTTTATTGAGGATTTGTCATGTTATTTTGTGTCTTGTTTCTTTTGAGTGGACTGTTTGTCAGCCCCCGCCCCCACCCTATTTTTCACGTCCTCTCTATGTAATGCCTCCGTGTAATCCTTTGAACTTGGCAAGATTTTATTTCGCTCCCATTTTTCCTTTGTTTTCCTTTCCTCTTGGAAGTCTTTCTCTACTGATGAGAATCTTAAGTTTAGAATTATTAATCTTTCCCTCCTGGATGAATAGAGTAAATTCAAAGAAGACAGATATGCAAAAACCAAGAAACATTTTGTTCATGTTCCTTTCCTTTTAACCTCTTTGGGATTTTTTTTTTCACTCCTTTGACCCTCTTAGTTTCTTTTGATTTAATTGTATTTTCCAGCAGTTTCCAATTGTTCGAATTGGAAACAAAGCCTTAATAAGAGTTCTAGTTAATTTTCTGTCTTGTAATTACCGATCTCATTTTTCTGATAATTGGCCACAGCAATTATATGTATACTTACTAATCACATAGGAGGCTGTGCAATTGTATCTATCTGCCACCATTGATAATGACACGCATATTGCAGAGGTGCTTTTATCATCTTCTTTTTTCCACTACATCAAAGCTATTTCCTCTCGTTCTCAATAATGAATACATGCATGCATTTGACACAGTTGTGTGCTAGAGAAATTGTTTGGCTCCCACCAAATGCTGCATGCTCTGAGTTTCTTGCCTGCAGCGCTGGAAGGTTGTATGTAATGATATATTGCTCATCCAAATGGCCAAAGCACTCCAAAGCACAGTGAGATTAAAATAAGTCATTCCTTTGTTAATTTAAATAGGTGCATGTATCATACTTTGCAGGGCACTTTGTGTAGGGATGTCAGGGAGGAAAAAAGCCGCCGAAAGGTATTTTTAATAGCAAATGAGAATAGATGAGAATGGAGTCATTTGCAGCTGCCTACTTTATGTGGCTCTCTTGTTCCAACTGTAGGTCTAATGAGATGACTGTTAAAGTACTCTGCAGTGTAATTTCATTACATCCTGAGCTGTTACACTATAAACACAGTGGCGCTCTGTCATTCTTGGAAAAACTCCTAAATTCTTAAAGCCTTCCTTTGCAAACGGTAATGGGGTTTGCTCCCTGTGTTATGTGGTGGCGGTTGCTCGTTGCTGTGTAGTTTTCTGCTCTTTTGAGTGACTCCCACCTCCACCCCAGTTTCCTTTGGTAGTTGAGTTGGGAGTTTGTCATTATATCCTTAATTTACTGGCTTTCTCATATGAGGAGTTTGCCTAGACTGGCAAATAAGCTGAAATTCCTTTTCCAGAAACAACTTCCCCTATAAAAAGCCTTTCTATTAATATTAAAGTAAAAAAAAAAAAAGTCTGACCCAAATGATTCCATTAGGGGCAAGCAGTTAAGAGCAGTTGAATATACAAATAAATGTAAATAAAAAGGAAAGTGTAAATAAATAGCAAATCCAGTAAAAGAAACAAAGGTCAACACAAGAATAATTTCACAGCTCTTTGTTAATTACAAGACCATTTGTGTGTTACTTAAATAATCATTAATTTCTCATTTACACTTTCCCTACCTTCTTTCCTACCCTGTGGCTATCATTGTCCTTTTTTCACCTCCCCTCCCTCTATGCTCTCATGTTTCTCACCATTGTGAAATGTGTGTGGCTTTAAATTTGGCATTTTTACCTAAATGTGTGGAAGAGGTAGAGACAGTGTTTTTAATTGGATGAGGCCTTATTTTCATTATATTCATCTTTATACTGCTTTGTGGGGGCGGGATGAGGATAGAATATAAAGAAAGAGAAGGAACTGTTGAGACTTTTGGTGACTTGTTTTTCCTCCATCCCAGGATTCGCCCGTCCTTCCGGTTGGAGAGTTCTCCGAGCCATTTGTACATTTCATCACTCAGTGGTGAGCCCGTTTGCAAACATGCCATGCCCTCAATGTAAATGACACATGCCATTAACTCCGCGGCTCCGTGAGACCTTATGGCTCTCCCTGCTTCCTTTTGGAGACAGGAGGGACTTCAGGGCCTTGGGCAGATGGGGCAGCAAAGCTGAAGAAATTGTTTAAATTATGTAAACGTTATTTACACAAAGGGTCATAAACGTACTTCAGAGGCTTTTTCTTGTTTTAATAAACTGCTGAGAGTCAGGCTACTTCTTTGAGCACAGATACTGTTGCCATCCTTTTTTTTTTCCTTTGAGAAATACACAATTTTATAGTCCCTGTTGAACAGACATATGAAGCTTATTTTTATTAATGTAACCTCAAGTTACCCATAAAACTGTCTGTCACTTAGTGGAAGCAGCATAGTTTATTAATTCATTAGATCTTCAGTAAATAACTTGTATCTTTGGTTATATTTTAAACACAATGCTGGGGTCCCATTTCAGTGAATTTTGATGTTTGAAAGACTATGAAAACATAGTCCCATTAGGCCCACTTTAACCCTTAAAAAATTGAGAGGAACCACTGGGGTCTCAGAGTCTCTAGGCAACTCCTAATCATTTTATACCTAAGGAAACAAGCATTTTTCTGCCAAGGTTCTTTTCCATCCTTCTGCCTTTTTCCTCCCAGCAGAACGCATCTTTCTTTTATTACCCGTTTCACCACCATCCCCCACATCCCCTGTCCTGCGGGACTCATGTGGCCTTGGGAGGCCCACTTGCTCCCCTGCCCTCTCCATCACCCCAGCATGGAGAATTACCCAGGAGAGAGGAGGAAATGGGGAGCATAGGAATGACTGTCCTCAAAGCAGGCGACAGACCCAAGCAGAGCTCCTTCCTAACTGCTTTGCCCCTCTTTCCCTCCTTCAAAGTCCTCATTTCTTCACTCCTTCAGAGTCACGTCCCCTACTGGTGGAAATGAATGGGCAGATCCCGCCCAAAGAAACCCTTCGTTCCTGTGGTGCAGTCAGGAGTTCTTGCTAAACCAAGATGGTTGAACGCTGTTCCCTCCCCTCCCCCATGATCCATCTGATGATTACACTGAAGTGAGACCAAGAAATATTCCTTAATATAAATGTCAAGCTTTATCACCTTTTTGACTAAGTGTGATGTGTTACCTCTTAATAAAAAATGTCTCAGACAGTTTATATTCCATAGAACAAATATGTGGGCAAGAAATTTTTCCCCTGATTTTTAAAATTTTATTAATTCTTTTATTTAAAATACTTATATAATATTCTGTAGCTCTTAAAAACTATTTTTACTCTGAAAACATTGTATTTCCAAAGCATGCCACGTTGGAAGAAAGCGTACATACTGATTTAACACTGCAATCCTGACCTGTTTTGAAGCTCATTAATGATGTTAGAACCATTATCCAGAAATATATATTAATCGCTCTTCACTTCCTTTACACGGAATTCCTAAAAACACTTGGAAGCATATCATGGTAATGCCTCATTTTTAAGTGCAAAAATTGTAAAACAAACCGTGCGATTCCTGTGCTGCCTGGAGCGGCTGGTTTGAGCATCACCCACTCCAGAGCTGTTGGATTCCTGACTGGATCACAGCCCTTATCTCGCTGTGTGGTCTAAAACCAACCTAGGGGTGGGGCTGGTCTGGACAGCAGGGAGAAAAGTGGATAGGGATCTACCTCCCTCTTGTCCAAAAAATTAATTAGCTGTTATTTAAAAGTTTTATGGCGACAGAGGGAGGGATAACCTGTGTTGAAATTTCCGCAGATGTTGAGCCGAAACAGAAATGATAGTGGGTAATAGCCTTGTTTTCCCAAGAGATACAGCTACTTTGGAATGTCAGATTAGGACTGTTACCAACTCCACTGGCGAGACAGCTTGAATTACTTGCTAATGGATGCAGTATTTGAGAGGTGCATATGGTTATTTATAGGGAAGGCAAATGTCCTCGATGTCATTAATGGTTCATAACTATGGTTCTTGTTTACCAAATGATCATTAAATCTCTCTATTTAAAAAAAAAAAAAAAGTACTGTCAGCAAATGCAGAGATTATATGAGGGATTTTCTTGTCGTTATATCCTTAATTTACTGGCTTTCTCATATGAGGAGTTTGCCTAGACTGGCAAATAAGCTGAAATTCCTTTTCCAGAAACAACTTCCC